GACATAACCATTACATCAACTGCTGGTCCCCAAACCATAACTCTTTCAAAGAAAACATATAACAAATCTTCGTGACCTGAGATTTGACAACGACCTTAAATTGGGCAATGGATTCTTAGATATGTCATCACATACAAGTAACAAAATATACAAATGGATCAATTTGACTTTATCAAAATTAAAAACATTTGCTTCAAAGGTGCTATCAAGAAAGCAAAAAGAAAACTCACAGAGTGGGAGAAAATATTTGCAAATCAAATATCTGATAAGGGTCTAATACCTAGAATATCTAATGCCCAGAATATCCTAAAAGAACAAAGGACTGGAACAGACATTTGTCCAAAGACAACACACAAACGGCCAAGACAAGGGAAGATGCTCAGCATCCCACATCGTTGGGGAAACGCAAACCCACTCTGTGGTGACGTACTGCTTCACTTCACAAGGAGGCCTACCGTGTCTTAAAATGGGGAATAACAAGTGCAGGCAAACATCAGAGAAATCAGAACGCCAGCGTGTTACTGCTGGGCATGCAAAATGGTACAGCTGCTGTGGAAAACAGTTTGGTGTTCCATAACCAAAAACTAAACATAGATTTATACAGAACTCAGTGATTCTAGTCCTAAGTATATTCCCCAGAGAACTGAAAGCACATATTCAAACAAAATCTTGCACACATATGCGTGTCATTGTTCACAAGAGCCAAAAAGTGTAAGCAACCCCAATGTCCATCATGAAAAATGGACAAACAAAACATGGTATATCTACAATGGAGCAACATTCCACCACAGAAACAAGTGAAACACTGACCTGTGCTACAATAGGAATGAAAGGCCACATACTGACCCAGTTACACAACATGTCCAGAACAGGCAAATTCGGTGGTTCCCAGGGACTGGATGGGGAAGGGAGTGGCTGCTTCGTGAAAAAACATTGTTTAGGGAACCAGCAGTTAGCGTAATGGCTATGTCGCTGGACTCCCACGTAGTCGACCGCGGTTCGTGTCCCGGACCCGGTGGCTTAAAACTCACGCCAGGCGTGTGTACGTGCGTGCCCAAGATCCCGAGAGGAGAATGGAGGAGAAGGGATTGCGGCGTGACCATCCCCCCTGGGGGATGATTATTTCTCGCTTTCGGTCTCTATGTCTCTCTCTGTCTGTCTGGCGAGCGCACGCGCCCTACAGTGAAAATCTCTAAAAAAAAAAAACAAAAAAACAAAAAAAACATTGTTTAGGGTGAAGAAGAGGTTCTGTAACTACATGGAGGTGCTAGGTGCAAAACTCAACAGCAAAATGCCACTGAACTATTCACTCAATTTTTCCTTTATTAATAGTAGAGTGAGGGGGGGAGAGAGTTTTCCTTTATTAATAGTAGAATGGGGTGGGGGGGAGAGAGCCCTTCCATAGGGCTGGAGCATGCTTTGATCCTCTTCCTCCATCAGACCCTGGGCATCTGTGCACACGCCTCTCATGACTCCAGTAGGCTGGGCTGGGCCTCACCGTGGAGCCACGGGGGTTCCAGACACTCCTGGATGCTCATCACTGCTGTGCCAGAGCTGCTCTGAGCCATTTGCTTCTGAATGGTTTACTTTATGTCGTGTGGATTTTATCTCAACTTAAAAAATATACTCCTAAGATACTTACAAATGTAAATATGTTTCTGGAGTGTTAAGAAAGAAGGTGAATGGTGGGAGAGAAATTGGCACTGTCAGGACAGAAACAACCACAGGGGCTTTTGGGAGAGGGAGGCAGGGCATGCAGTACTGAGGGCTGTGGGTGGAGGGAGGCTCTTTCCCCTATTAAGGATGACCATGCAGAGAAGACAGGAAATGGGAGGTTCTAGAGGGATGGCCTGGGGTGGGTGGACTTGACAGTCTGTGGCTGCAGACTGAAGCAGGGACAGTGCCAGTGGGAGGGTGGAGGTGGCCAGTCTTGAGGTAAGGCCACCAGGCCTCTTCCAAGGCCACAGCCATGGCCATGGCCATGTGGTTGCCTGGTGTACTTCCCTGAGGAGCCAGGCTGGGCACTCAGTCACGGGAGTCCAGTGGGCAAGGTCACTCTCTCTACATGGCAAGATCTTTCAACTCAAACAGGAAGCACCTGAGCCACACCCAAGAATGGGGTGAGAACAGGCCAGGGACTGTCCCCAAGGCCCAGAGCACATAGCAAGCCCACTTGGTCACCCTCAAGGTCAGAGAAGGTGAAGAGGAGGGGGCTGACCTACACCAGCCCTAGTGATCCGGCCACCAGCCCTCATCCCTAGGAAACTTGAGCAGAAATGGTTCTGGTGTGGGGACGACCTGGAAGGTGAAGAGGGGCAGGATTGCAGGGGAAGCCAGCACTGATCTCCTCCATCTCCGACGTGCAGCCCTCCCTTCTGAGAGCAGGACTGGGCAGGAGCCTGAGACCTCCATGCTGGCTCAACACTCCATGCACACCAGCTGCTGGCTGGGGACCTCCATGGCCTATTGCAAGCCACCGGCTTGTGTCCAGCTCAGCGCTGAGGTGGCCCTAAACACGGGTTCTGGCAAAAAGTACAAAATCAGATAAATACTCCCAAGATATTTCCCCATTTGAAGGAGGGGTGTGGAAGTTGAAGGTCCCACAGCAGCAGTCCCCTCCGAATAAACATCCTGGGCGTTCCCTCTGCTCTGGGTTTCTGCAGCAGGTGGCTTCATATTCCTGAATGCACATTCTCCTCCACTGGGTTCTACCGTATGTCTGCACCCTCCTGACCACAGCTTCAAAGACGACTCTGGGTAAGGGGCCTGGGCACAGCCAGGGCTGCCAGAGGCCTCCCAGGACACTGAGCTAGGAGCCAGCTGCATCTCTCTGAGAACACGGAATTTTCATAAGAAACTTTTTCCTGTGCAAAGGGAGTATCTGTTCATTTCAGAAAATAAAATCAAGCACAAACGCAAATGGAACCCAGCCCAGACAGTGGACCCCACCCCAGACAGTGGACTTCACCCTGGAGAGTGGATCCTACCACGGACAGTGGACCCCACCATGGACAGTGGACCCCACCCCAGAGAGGGGGCCCCACCATGGACACTGGACCCCACCCTGGACAGTGGACCCCACCATGGACACTGGACCCCACCCTGGACAGTGGACCCCACCCTGGACAGGGGGCCCCACCATGGACACCAGACCCCACCATGGGCAGTAGACCCCACCCCAGACAGTGGACCCCACCATGGACAGTGGCCGCCACCATGGGCAGTGGACCCCACCCTGGACAGGGGGCCCCACCACGGACAGGGGTCCCCACCATGGAGAGTGGATCCTACCACGGACAGTGGACCCCACCCCGGACAGGGGGCCCCACCATGGACACTGGACCCCACCCTGGACAGTGGATCCCACTGTGGACACTGGGCCCCACCCTGGACAGGGGGCCCCACCATGGACAGTGGACCCCACCCCAGACAGGGGTCCCCACCCAGGACAGTGGACCCCACCCTGGACAGCGGACTCCACCATGGACATTGGACCCCATCATGGGCAGTGGACCCCACCCTGGACAGGGGGCCCCACCATGGACAGTGGCCCCCACCATGGGCAGTGGACTCCACCACGAACAGTAGACCCCACCCTGGACAGTGGACCCCACCATGGGCACTGGACCCCACCCTGGACAGTGGACCCCACCATGGGCACTGGACCCCACCCTGGACAGTGGACCCCACCATGGGCAGTGGATCCCACCACGGGCAGTGGACCCAGTACAGACATTGTTGGAGACATACTGAGACATCACACACTGCTTGGTGTACTCAGGCTGAGGCTACACTCCTCCAGTCACCGGCCCTCCGGCTGCCTCAATGTCCTCCTCTGTAAAGCAGATGACAGCTGCCACCCCAAGGGGTGAGGACTGTGAGGACTGCATGAGGTGACAGTCCCTGCCCACTCAGCCTGGTTGTTCGCTGCCACGGATGTGGACAGCCCCTGCCCATTGGCACAGGTCTCACGAAATGGAGACCTGAACTGTTGTGGGTTTGGACAGGGAAGCCTGGGAAGAAGGCGTGGAGCAGCTTGGGCACTGGCTTCTGTCAGAGGCACCGGGGAGTCTCCTGCTTGGGTCCACCTCCGGCCAGACCAGAAACCCAGTCACACATTTCAAGTACCTGGGCTCTGGGGCAAACACGCAGGTGCACATGCACACATGCACACCCCCCCTGCACACTCGGGCAGACCAGGGACCATTGCTGGTCACGCAATGATTCCCCTCCCTCCTCCAGGCAGTGCTTGGGGAGTCCACAGCTGGACAGGCTGGCGGAGGCCCTGTGGTTCCAGGGTGCCAGTCCCTCCAGTCCTGGTTGGTTGGTTTTCAACCAACTGGGAAGCATTGGTCCTTGAGGAGACCCGTGGGGGAGAGGGGGGACGCGCAAGGCCTGACCTTTGACCCTGGAGGGCCCTGGAGTTGGCCTCTGGCCAGTCACCAGCCAGTGGGTAGACTCTTCCTAGCAGAGGCAGCCCAGGGGTCTGGCCATGCAGCCTGCCAGAGCACAGCTCTCCGAGTACCTGGTCTGAAGTTTTTGGTCACTCCAAACAAGAGTTTAGGGAAAATAATTCCAGTGCCACTGCCTGACACGTAGGGAGCTCTGGAACTGCCTTCCCGGGTGTGAGAACCTGGGACCCCCTTGCCACCCGCCTGCCAGCAGTGCCCAGACACTCTGGGGGACCCTCGGCCTGGCGCAGGGGTGTCAGCTGCACCCTCGGGGGCGGTCAGTACTGTGGCTCCGGCACTGGGTACCGGGGGCTGAGGAAGTGACCGGCCGCCCTCAGAGAGCCTGCTAAGTGAGAGCCGAGGTCGGACCCGAGCGCCCACCCGGTGGCCCCAGGGCCCGCAACGCGAAGATGGCGTAGGAAGATGGGGGGTCTGGAATCTTGGGCGACACCGGCACTCAGCCCCTGGGCCCTCGCACCAGGTTCGCGTCCCGGGGTGCGCGCGGACGACAGCAGGGAGGGAAGCTGCGGGGCCCGCCGAGGCACTTACCGGGGCCAGCGGGCGCTAGGCTAGGTGCTCCCGCGGGTGGCAGGCCAGGAACTGCCGCGGGGCTTGCCGGCGCCTGCATCTCGCCCACCGGCGCCAGGAGGGCGAGAAGTTCGGCCCCACCCCGGCACGCGCCGCCCCTCCCCGCTCGGGAGCGGCCAGGGCTGGGGCAGCAGGGGGCGCCCGCGCGCATCGTCGCCCCGGACGCCCGCACCCTCGCGCGCCGGGTGGGCCCGGGTCTGTGTGCCGCCGGGCTGGGGCAGCCGCGTGCGACCCTGGGGACCCCAGTGCTCCTGGCCGGAGCCCGGCACCCTCTGCCCTCCCCGCCCCGGCGTCACGCGCCGAGTGCCCCCTGCGCCCGTGTCCAGGCCGGTTGCACCCAGCTCCCTTGGCCGCCGCAGGCGCCATCCAGACAGAGTGTGAGGATAGCTCCTCTCCCCGAGGCGTTCGGAGAGTCGAAAGGACGGACGGTTTTTACAAATATCTATATGATACGCTTCGACCCTGATTTTCCCAGGAACTGGCCGTCCCCCAGGCACGCAGGTGTCCATGCAACATTTCCCCGTCCAGGTACTTCTGAGTCCGGAAGGGCAGTGCACGGTCTAGAGTCCCTGGTCCACCGATCTGACCCGCGCGCGTGGTCACCCGGACCAGCTCAGGGCCTTCTCGGCCTCGTCGTCCCCCGCCGCTGTCAGGGCGCTCCTTCCTCTAGCCCTCTCCAGGCTCACGCCCCATGGGCTGCAGTATCCTCTCCTCTGTGCCGGCGCATGTCCTGGGTTGGAACTCACTCTTACCCTAGCGGCAACCACGTCTGGCCCCCGCCACGCCCCCCAGCCTGGCCAGTTCCGCTCAGCGCCGCTCCTCACTTGGGCCCCTGGGCCTCGCCCTACCTTAATCACCCCTAGGGGCCCGTCCAAGCCCCACCACACCCACTGCCCAGGCCAGCGCGGTCCCTGCTGCACCCGGGGGGTCTTCCTGGCCCCACCAGGCTGTAGCGTCTGGGGCCTGCCCCTCGCCATGCGCTCGGAATAAGCAAGTGGGTGACTGGGCCTTTGCACTTGCAGTCAGCCCCGCCTCCCTGAGGTCCACTGCGTCCTGCGCTGAGCACGGAAGGTGCCGCACAGGCTGGGGAAGCTGCCTCGTTTTTTGGCAAGGAATGATGTGCTGTCCTTTCAAAACCTGTGGCCGGGGAACCAGCATTTAGCGTAATGGCTATGTCGCTGGACTCCCACGTAGTTGACCGCGGTTCGCGTCCCGGACCCAGTGGCTTAGAACTCACGCCAGGCGCGTGTGTGCTTAAGATCCCGAGAGGAGAATGGAGGAGAAGGGATTGCAGCGTGGCCATGGGTGATTTCTCGTTTTCTGTCTCTATGTCTCTGTCTGGTGAGCGCACGCACCCTATGGAGAAAACCTCTCCAAAAAAACCAAAAAAAAAAACAAACAAAAAAAAACAAAAAAAACCCTGTGACTGCATCTTATTTATTTATTATTTTTTGGAGAGATTTTCACTATAGGTGCGTGTGCTCGCCAGACAGAGACATAGAGACAGAAAGCGAGAAATCACCCCCCAGGGGGGATGGTCATGCCGCAATCCCTTCTCCATTCTCCTCTCGGGATCTTGGGCACGCACGCACACGCGCCTGGTGTGAGTTCTAAGCCACCGGGTCCGGGACGTGAACCGCGGTCGACTACGTGGGAGTCCAGCGACATAACCATTACGCTAACTGCTGGTTCCCTGTGACTACCTTGACCCGACCTTCGGTAAGCAGGTTATGCACAGAAAAGGTGTGATCAGATAATTCAGAGGTCACAGGTCAACTTTAATTTCTTCTTTTTACTTTTCACAGGCCTATAATTCCCGCACAATCTTGGAGAAGCATGTGGTACTTTCATGATCCACTGAAGAACATGAGTCACATGGCATGGCCTGGGGTGGTGTTGGCACTTGGGGTGCTGCGTGAGGAGAGTCTGCACTGCAAGGCTGCCAGCAGTGTGGGCCAGGCCCTGAGCGGGCTCTGCAGGGCTCTGCCTCCATCCCTCAGACAGGTGAGTACGGCCCAGCCCCATCCCACCATCACTCTGTCTTCCCCCAACTTCCCTGACCTGCCCTGTCCCACTGCCTCCTGGGCTTGTCCCCCGTCTCCCGCTCTGCATACCCTCAGGCTCCCCACGGGATGGAGAACAGGGTGCCCCTTGCCAAAGAGGTACCTCCCCTGAAGTCCAGGGATCCAGCGAGGAGCCCTGAGTCCCAGGCATCCTACCAGGAGAAGGTGGCTCCTGGCCTCCTAGGCTGGGTTCTGAGCTGGGCCCTGAGAAGGCCCAGGCTGTCGGGGTGTCCCCTGCATCTTCATCATCTTGCCCCTCTCCGCCATGAAGGTCCAGAGGCAGCTGGGCCTCCGCCCCAGCTGCAGTGGCCCCTTGGGCACTCCATCCGTGTCAGGACCCACTGGAAGCAAATGCTGTGTCACTGAGCCCTCCCACTTCTCCACATGTGCACTAGCCAGGGACAAGCCCTTTGTCACTTGTCCCAGGACCTGCATGTGAGGGGGGCCAACACTATAAGGATGACAGAGCCTGAGTGCCACTTGAGTCCTGGCACAGTCACACCTGTGTCCTGGCTGTGCTTGGGCAGCCACGTGGCTGAGACACGGCTACCCAAGGATGGCCACACAGGAGGCGCTCAGCACCATGGCTGCTCCCAGAGGTCCAGCCGCCTCCCCCTGCCGGTGTAGAAGAGCCTAGTGGCAAGCTCTGCCTCCCGCCGTTGCTGGTCTACAGCTGCCCTGAACATGATAGACTGAGTGCCACCAAGCCCCGCCCCCAGAGGCAGGCAAGTCCTCTCTGGGGCTTGGCTGGGGCCTGCCGCCCTCTGCAGCCGCTCCACTTCCCAGGGCCAGGTGAGCGCAGGGTCCACACCTCACAGCACTCAGCCTTGCTTCTTGTTACTCCCCTCCCACGTCCCTCCTCCTGGAGGCTAGAGGGACAGAGGCATCTTGTCAAAGGCCGTTGGGGGCCAGCAGATGGTGTGGTGGTTAAGGTGTTGGGCACTCCCATGTGGCTAACCATGGTTCAAGTCCTGGACTTGGTGGCTTCCTTTCTCATTCTCTCTCTCTGGTCAAATTGGAATAAATGAATGAAAAAAAAAAGAATGAATAAAATAAAATAATTGAAGAATTATTTTAAAAAGCCGTAGGGCAGCTTCTGCCGCCCACATCTCACTACCCAGTGTGGAGCACTGGCAGCAGGCAGGCTTCCATCTAGGGGTGCGTGTGGTCACACAGCGTTAGTCCTGGGCCTGCAGCAGGGTGAGGGTAAGGAAGGTCCAGATGTGGGTGTAGGCATCCCAACTCACCACCTCTGCACAGGTGACTGTGAGGGGCACCAGGTCCCTGCCTGCAGATCAAGAGATGCCTAGCACCTGGGGCTTTCCCCCAGAAAATGGGCTCACCCAGTAGGCCCCAGGAGGGTGTGCCAGCAGGTCCTAACTGCATTGAGCCCTAGTGAGGAGGGGGAGCAGGGCATGGCCAGGAACATGAGTCGGCAGAGTGCAGGTACTGTCCCCTTGGACCAGAGTCCTTGACCCACAGCCTGCAGAGCAGGCAGAGACGGGAGCAGACCTGAGCCATGCCTGCAGGTGAGCCCCTCAGTCCCACTTATCCCCATTGCCTCTCACTTCTACCTTGACCCCTCTGCACACTGAGCTCTGGTGGGAAGGAGGCAGTCGCTCCACTCATCTTCTGACCCCTCTGCACACTGAGCTCTGGCTGGAAGGAGGCAGTCGCTCCACTCCTTGTCCTCAGGGGCCCTGAGACAGCAGCCCACCCCCAGTGCCAGGGAGAGCCCCCAGGTGCCCACAGACCCCGGCCAGGCAGCTGCCCCCTGCTTGGGGCCCACCCTGTCAGCCAGAGGCAGCTGCTGTCCCAATGCCTGTCCTGTACAAGCCTTTGCCTGCCTTGGTTCCCCAACTCTATCAGACACTCAGGCTGCCCCAGGTGGTGCTAAGGGACAGCTGCCACAGGGACACCCTCCTCTACCACCTCCCGGAGCCCACGTGCTCTCCCAACCCTGTCCTTCAGCTTGAGGTTACACACCCTGCACACTAATCTCCAGGTACCCCCACACCTCATCACCCGAACTCTGGGCACCCCAACACCTCACCATCTGAGTCCTGGTTCCCCCGTGCCCCTTAGCCCCTGAGTCCGGGTGTCCCCCACGTCCCTTGGTACATGAGTCTGGGTGTCCCGTTACCCTACTGCAGTCCCAATCGCAGAACAGCATGTGTGGGTGCAGCGTGGGAAGGGGGAGGCTGCTTTACTAGAATTCACTTCCTTCTGTGTGCAACACCCTGTGGGCACGATGACTCAGCTACGTAGCCTCCTTTGAGTCGATGTCTGTCTGCATCCTCTAATAGCTCTCAGTGCCTCTTCCTCAGGGGCCCTGAGCCAGGACAGCTCGGGGACCTCTGTGGAGTGGTCCGCTCCGTCCTGAATCCCTGGTCTCCTTTGGCCCTCGCTTGTTCACTCAGCTTTGCTGAAGCCCATCCACAGGAGGTCCCTGGTCCAGGCAGAGGACTTTCCAAGTCTTTCCACCTGCACTGCCGGCTGACAGCCTGGCCACAGATAGAATTGGGGTGGGAACAGTGCCCCTCAGCACATCAGACTGGCCATGCCAGGGAGCCAGCGCTATCCTTCTGACGCCTCCTGCAGATGGCATTGCCTCACAGGCTGCGAATTCCCCCGAGTCCACGGAGTCACCTCCCTCCTCCAGGGAGCTCAGTGGTCTGCCCATCCTCCATTGGGCACTCTGGGACTTTCCATACTAGCGCAGGTCCCAGGTTCTGGAAAATTCTTCTGAGTCTTATTTGTTTTGAAAATTTCTTCTCTATACTTTTCAGTTTTTTAAACTTTCCCTTTCCACATATTCCGTTTTTCATTTCTAAGATATTTCTGTGATTCTACCTAATAGAATTCAGTATTTTTTTCAATGAATGCAATCTCTTCGGTTATCTCTCTGAAAACAAATTATAGATATGAAGGTTGTACCCAACCATTTATCAATGAAGTAAACACACAGCAAGAAACCCTAGAGAAAAGCCTGGAAACAACCCTGTATTTGTAAGCAGGTGCCAGGGCCATTCAAGGTGGAAAGAATAAACTGTTCACCAGTGTGGCCGGAAAACTGGAAATTCACATGCCATGAACAAGTCTGAAGTCCACCTCAGACATGACACACAGAAATTACATGGAACTGGAGTGCAGACTTAAAGGTAAGAGCTGAAACCACAGGACTCTGAGAAGAAAGAGGGGAAGATTTCATGACATTACATGGGCAGTGACATTTTAGACATGAAAGCAAAAACAAATGGAAAATATCTAAGCTGCCAGAGGTGCCCATGCCTTCAGGCACAGAGGTGACCCCAGCCATGTCCTCAGGTCCAGAGGTGGCCGCCACCCCATGACCTCAGGGGACAGAGGCCCCATGCCCTTGTCCACAGCTGTTCTCAGAGGCACCCTGCTGTCTCAGGCTGACCAAGCTACTGCCTCCATCCTCCTGGCAATCCTGAAGATCCTGGTCAGGGACTCAGGTTTGTTCTCAGACGCCCAGAAGTCCCTCTGTGGCGTGCCTGCACTGCCCTCGTGTGGCCAGGCTGTGAGTGGCCACCTGACCCCTGGGGTATGAGGTGGAGACACTGAGGTCTCCGCAAGGCCAGCGTCTCCTCCCTACCTGTCCCTGGGGCTTCCAGACAGCAGCCACCTCAGACCTCACCCCACCTGCAGCCCCAGGCTCACGGCCCCAAGCCCACTCCTGCTCTCTCTGCCTCAACCTCCTGGAACCCTGATTCTAGGCCCCTGTCAGTCCCAGAGAAAAGGTCTCTTGAAAGCTGGTATTCCAACCCAGCTCAGACCAAGAGTCCAGGCACAGTCCACAGGACCCAGCTGTCTTCATCCAGTTTCAGCTCTACTGTGCCCTGCACAGCCTCCCTGGGCTCCACGTCCCGCTGTGGACAGATAAGCACCAACCAACCTCAGCATTTGTTCAAGCCAGCTCATGATATTCCACGAGATCTCGTCCTTGCTACTCTTGCTCAATGGGGCTTCTCAAAGTGAGTCTCTGTAAAGTCTGTGGATCAAGAAGCCTGTGGAACTGGATCCCCCATGGCACTCCAAGTGTGGAGAAGCCATCACACAACTGAGTACCACACACCTGAGCATCTGCACACACCTGTCTTTATCACATACCTGACATCTCTACAATACACCTGAGCATCTCCGCCACACACTTGAGCATCCCGCCACACACCTGAGCATCCCCACCACATACCTGAGCATCCCCACCACACACCTGCGCCTCCCCC